GCCCAGCCTGTATTTGTGCTTGGGATTGCCCCGACCCATGTGCAGGACCTTGCACTTGGCCTTGTTGAACTTCATGAGGTTCGCATGGGCCCACCTCTCGAGCCTGTCAAGGTCCGTCTGGATGGCATCCCGTCCCTCTGGCGTGTCGACTGCACCACACAGCTTGGTGTCATCGGCAAACTTGCAGAGGGTGCACTCAATCCCACTGTCTCTGTTGCCGACAAAGATGTTAAACAGCGCCAGTCCCAATACCGACCCCTGAGGAGCGCCACTCATCACTGGTCTCCACTTGGACGTCGAGCGGTTGACCGCAACTCTTTGAGTGTGACCACCCAGCCAATTTCTTATCCACTGAGTGGTCCACCTGTCAAATCCATATCTCTCCAAGTTAGAGACAATGCCTCCTATTAGTTTTTATTTGGAGTGCTGCTTTTCCTGCTTGTGAAAGAAATGCTAAGGTAATTTTCCCCTACCATCTTTCACACCCTGATTACTACTCCAGAATTGTGAGTTGAGTTCTGTTAGCTTTGTGTTAAAGCAGTGAGATCGCATGGTAAGATTCCTGTCAAAATTGAATATAACTTTAAAAGGATTGAAGAAAAAAAAAAATACTGTCCTATAAACTGGAGCCTCCTCTGAAGATTTGTTAGCTTAGAACAATAAAAATGTGACTTCTCATTTTCACAGCAAGCATATGTTGAAACCCACAAAATTTCTAATAGCGCTTCTACTTACTCATATCTTAGTCTCAGAAGTCACATACTTGTGTTGGAAAGAGTATGAAAAATTATTATAGTCTGTTTATTCTTTAAATGGTGATTGATTGCTTTTCAGCCAGGCATGGTTCTGATTTCTATATGATTTTTATTTCTACTGATGTAATCTTTCTCCTAGTAACTCATCTTGTTATCCCTGATGTTCCAATGCCAAGTACTGTCAAATGTATGATGGCGGTTCTGACTGGATGTTGGGTCCTCAAGTTTGAATGTAAGTATTAAATACATGGGATTCTTCGGGCTTTTTAACCAGATATTGTAGATGGGATTGCAGAGAAAACTTTCTTTTTCAACAACTGCCCTAATTTCAAGACTAACTTAACATAAAGTGTGAAGGTTTTGGTTTTTGATCTCCTGAATGACAAGAGATTTAATTAAATACTACTCCTTCCTTGGCAAATGTGTGCGTTTCACTATTAGATGTATTGGGTAGGTCACACCCTAAGTATCAGTGGGGAGTGAATTTGTTCATTGCTACATTAAGAATGATTTGGAAGGTTATGGAAAAAATGCTGGGAGAGGAGGAAGGGATTTACTAAATTCTTAGATTTCTTATCAGCAGCTTCCACTGAAATTGATAGGAAACTTTTGCTTGCTTGGGGTATGTGATCAAAGCCTGTAGGAAGGTAAGGTGTTACCTATTTACCTATAAGCTGAGATCTGTTGAAAGTTATAACCAAAGTTAGGCTGTCAGCTGATCATAACCTCTGTTTGTACTTTCTACTAAAGTTCTCTATTTGAGAAAGTTGTCAGGCTTTATGCAATCACAGGCTCAGGCAGATCAAATGTATATGTAACTTTTGATACCCATTTCTGTACACACCGAGCTCTGCAGACTGGAGTGCTCTTCAACTAAAATAGTAACCTCCAAGGAAAGATGACTTGCATAGTGTCCCCTTAGCGTGCAAGTAGTTTTGATGTCATCTTTCATGCAATCTGTAATTTTATACAGTGCATGCTTTTTTGTATAGCTGTTCTGTGGACTTACACCCCAAATTCTGCTTTTTATTAATTCTTTCGAATGTATTTCTTAGTATCTGCTTTCACAGTAGTTGTAAAAGCCATCTTCTTCCCCTTGACCTTTATGGCTAAGTCCTTTTAGCTAGTAAGTACACTACAAATGAGTTAATTATCCCATGGAAAACTCTCAGACAAACTTCATTCCAGTTTTCTGTGTGACTAAACATCAGAATATAAGGATTCTTTAATGATCTAAATTTTCCAGTCACTAATGTTTATAAAGGCACTGCTTAAAGCTTCAAAAGATGCATAGTAGTTTTTCAAATAAGGCACATCATCAGACTCTTTGAACATTGGACTCTTTTTCAGGGAGTTAATTTGGCTTCCAGATAGTCAGTGGACTTGTTCCATGCTTTTTTTAAAGGGTCTGTTGAATTAGTGTCCCCTCAGAGATGTTTTCTGCAACACCTGCAGTGGCAGGTGTTTGTTGCCTTATAAACATTTGTAAAAGGAAAACATTGTGTTATCTTTATACAGTGATTCTTACAAATAGGAGTAGCTTCTTGTTGAATATGTAACATGGAGAATCATAGAATCATTAAGGTTGGAAGAGACCTCTAAGATCATCGAGTCCAACCGTCAACCCAACACCACCATGCCCACTACACCATGTCCCTAAGTGCCTCATCTACACGTCTTTTAAATATTTCCAGGGATGGTGACTCAACCACTTCCCTGGGCAGCCTCTTCCAATGTTTAACCACTCATATGAGAAATACTGTTTATGCTTAAGCAAGCAGATGGATTTAATAACCTCCAGACACTTTGTTGATAAGCAGAAGGGAGATGGTTTCCTGTTTGGAGGTGGGGATGCACCAGGAAACTGAGAAGGCCTAGAAGCGATGTTTGAGTTGTGTAATTGGAAAGGGTGTGTGCAGGTGCTCTGGAACAATATCCTGTTTAACTAAGATTGAATAGTCCGTTTCTTTGGTGAATCACTTTGCAGGTTCTTGGCTTCACTCAGGTCAGGAGGTCTGCATGCCTTCTATTATATGTGCTAGGGTGGTTTTCCTTTATTTCATTTTATTTTCTTGCTAGTCAGATGCTTAGAATCTCCCTACCACTTCAGCTGAGTGGTAGGGAGATTAAACTCAGGTCTCACTAATTAAAATCTTTGTGGAAGAATTTTTATATTTAGAAGTGACGGGAAAAGAAAAAAAAAGTGTGGGGGTTATTCAGGGAATATTTTCATATTTTTTGTATGCAGCTGAGTTTTATTTTATGTTGTTAGTACTGATTAGTACAATCCTGACTGCTAATGCTCCCAGCTTAGTAAGCAACGTACTACTTAAAAGAGAGTGATTCTCCTCCCTAGTGGGAAATGTTAGTAATAACTCGTGGGGTCTGATGCAGCTAAGTGCCTATAATTAACAGCCCCACTCCATCTGTTCCCACCAGTCTGTTATTAGTCTTCTTCAGTCATTACAAGTTAAAGATTGTTATAACAAATAATGGGACTCCTGCTGATGGAACGTTTGTCTAGGAAAAAGAGGTCTTTGATTTTCTGTTCCATAATTTCTCTCTTTATTTATCGTGGCTTTTTGACTTCTATTTGGATAAGTTTCCTTAAATGTGATGCAAATAAACTTCCAAAAGTGTGTGCATCTTCTGGCTTGCTTCTGTTAAAGCCACTGCAAATAAATTGAAGGAGTTGCTTATAGTTCAGTTCTGTAAACCATTTACTTAAAGCAAATTCATGTTCAAAAACTTCACTGAAATATTTGAAAAAACAAAGGTCATTGTAGCACTTAATGAAATGCTGACTATGTATAAGTATTTGAATTTTTTTTACTACAAGGTAAGCTGCATTTGACGGTTATTTCTAAAGTTATAGCCTACACACAATTATACACCTTTTTTTAAAAAACATTGCATGCTTGCAAAAAACAGTATTTAAGAGTGTATTTCTTATGTTAACTCTTCCGTTATAGCAGGCTTTCGAGCTGTGTTTCTCTAATAAAAAGCAATTTCCTTCTCTTGGGTGATTCTGTGATGCTTCTGTTTACCTGTGTCTATACACACAGATATAGCATCCATTAGTATCAGTAGAGAGGTAATGTGGAATTTTCCAGCAGAGTCTGGGCTAAATGTAAGGCCTCTTAAGTATTAGAGAGCCAAGATTTAAATATAGCTTCAGTTTTGGGGCTCCCTTTTGTCTTCAGGTGGAAGATTAGGCTGAAAGGATGTCACCACTGAGCAATACTAGATCTTCACAGAAGAAGAATTTCACATTACCAGTTGTGTTCCGTATTTTCCATATATAATACACTGTCAGCAATATACCAACTTTCAAAGCAGCATAGAATTCAATTGAGACACTGTTGTCAGTGTGCTCCTTGCCCTTGGCCATACCGTTCATTGGTTCTATTATTTTATTGCCTTCATTATTTCTGGGACAGTAACAGGGCACAAAGTAGCATATCATTATCCTTCTGCAAGTAGGCTGAGGCAAAGATTCAAATATCGCTGTATTTCCTCTCTGCTTTTTGTAGAGCATAGAATAGTGTAATTAAAACCAGCAGAAGCCTTTAATAGCTTTTCAGCTTGTTTTTTCTTAAACTGATTGTCATCTGTTAAAGCAGGGAATGAAAAATGGTCTCAGTAATGATATGCATTGAAACAAGCTTGTGTCAGTATTTGCTGCAAAGTATCTGGAAGAAGTCTAAGCATTTGACTGCTTATTCCTTCATTTGCTTTGCTTACCTGGAGCAGCAGCAATGATTCAGCTCTGATCATTTAAAAGAATGCAAAAAAACCCTGGTTTTCCTGTAAGGACTCGGAACAACTGGGAGTTGACTAGAAGAGCTAGGGGATTGAATGACTGACATCTCAAGGCGAAAACATCTTTCTGAATTTCTTGGAGGAATATGCTCATCTTTGTTCAGGCTATTAGACAGAAGAAGTGCAAAGCTGTTTGAGCTGACTGTGTCTCAGGCTGGACTGTCTCTCTTCCATGCATAAACATCTTTTAGATTAACAGGCTGATACTCAGCAAAGCCCTCCCTCTTTAAAACAGCTCAAAACTTTTGATCAGTGGAGTTTCATGCTTGTTTTGCAGTTGGAGACTTACTTCAGCTGCCTCCTTTTACAAAAGGACTCACAGCTCTGCAGGAGGTGGTAGAAATATCTTAACGTGCATATGCGTGTTCTAGTTGTATTGGGTGTACAGCCGAGGGGAATGTTTCACATCCACAGGGTCTGAACTTTTGCACTCCCAGTGTCTGCACCTTCTGGAAAGGAGGAGGGAAACAGTTTTACTTCAAAGTTGGCGCAAATGTAGGCTGTGAAGCTGCTGGGGTTTGCAGCGGAGAAAATGGGGGTAAGAAGGTCTTAAATGTGGAGTTTGCCTTTGTCTGCCAGAGCTGGGAAGTGGGCTGGTTTGAAGTAAGGTCTAGAGGAAAAGGAAACCATGTTTCCACTGCTCCCTCTGTTCTGTTCTGTGTCATCCAGATACTCAGTTTTTCATATTTAGAGAGTCCTTTTGCTCTAATTCACTTTTGGTTTGAAGAAAACATTGCATTAAGGAAGCCCATTGTAAGGAAAAGGATGGGAAATATTACCTCATGCATTTAAAAGCATGTGACAGGATCCAGAGGATGAACAATTCCAGTGGAATTTAACCTGACCTCTGCACCTCAGGAATGGCTACCTCCAGTCACTTTGATCAGTCTGGAAAACAGCTGTGGCAAATAGTGGTTTCTTAAAGAAGATATGACACTTGGGTTTTTTTAAGTGAAGTAATGATTTTCATATTACATGCTCCTAGCTTCTGGGAATTGATGTTTAAGGACTTCCTAAGCATCTGCTCCATCATGTTTAATAAATATCACCTGGATTAACTTGTTAACTACCATTCTTAAGCAGATTCATTTTAGTCTCTGCAGCATCTTGTGTCATTTCCATGTGTTGGAAAAAAGTACTGCTCTTCTTTCACCAAATGAGACCTCTACCTCACTCCATGAAAATTTGTGATTTTTTTAAGTTACTTTATGAGCATATAAGAGACAGCATAAAAATTTTCTGTGCTGTAGCAGAGACCAGTAATGCTGTTGATGAAAGCAAATTGAAGCTAGCCATTGCAAATTCCCCTAAGGCTTTCTCTCAGTCCAGATTTCTTCCTTTTCTAGCAAAAAAAAAAAAAAATCATCAAGCTTTACTCAATCTGCATGTAAGTCTTAAAACCCAGTGCAG